CTCATCGGATGGGTGGTTTTGGCCGCACTTGTCACATATATATTCGAAAAGGACGTTTTAGACAAGCAAAGCCTCAGCCTCATAGAATAGCTAGAATGAATCTGTTAATTTAACGAAAGGATTCGTAAATCGGATTGGCAATATAGGATTGTCATCCTTTATATCTTCATTTTCCAAATTAATGTATAAATTGGAATTTTAAAGAATGGATCATTGTATTGCTTTGTGCATACGGCAGCCTCCACGCAAACCACCTCGCCCTCGACCTTTGCCAAATTTTTGCCAGCTCGCTTCCGGGGCTATAGACCCAAATCGAGTAGTGGATCGGGATCTCCGCTACGAATTCCCGTTTGCATTGTCTCGAATTCTAATATTAAAGGTCGAACAATACAATTCGAATAATATTATGTAATGCATACCTCCTTATAAATCAAAGGAAATTCGAAGCTTAATTTGCCGCCCAATCTTCGGAATGAATTATTCGAAACCCAAATCCATATTAAAATTCCATAAATCTTCCTCGCATTTATCCTTTCTTTTCGAAGTGTTTATTTCCCTAAAACAAAATAAAAATCGTAAAAATATCATTTATTATCATAACCGTTCCAAAACAATATAATTACCGTTCCAATTCAACCAAAAGAAACCCATAATTTCCCTTTATTAATATTCATATATTTTTTATTTCCAAAAATATTTACCCCGAAAAAAACACCCTTCAACATTTTTTTTAAATACAATTTTTTCATTATAATATTGAATTAATATATATTTAATATTTAAATTATTTTTTAAAAATTATTCATTATTATATTTAATAAAATTATATAATTATTAATTCAATTTAAATATATTCCTATAAATATATAAATATTTTATATATATAAATATTTCTTTATTCATTATAAAATTCAAATCTATAAATAATTAATAAAATATAATAATTGATTTAAAAAACCATAATATATACAATAATAATAGGTTTTTGTATATTTTATATAAATTATAAATTATATTATATTCCATCGTTTATGTTCTATTTATTTCGAATTGTTTATAATCGTTTAAATTAATTTATAATAATATTAATCGAAATATTTCCTCGACCATTACCAAATAGAATTGCTATATTTCGAATAATCCTCACCAAAATATTTCAATATAATTACCTTCAATCCAATCTATTCAATACCTAAAACAATCAAATATCAGAAAATTAAATCGTTCATTTCATTCATCCGGGCCCCAACCTTCGGAGAACCTTTGAAATTTGCAAGGCCCTAGTAAGAGTAGTAGCGATAGTAATAGTTCAAGTAATAATGGTAATAGCAATAGTAGTAGTAATAGTAGTGGCAAAAGTAGTAGCACCTGTGATTTCTTCCACTTGCTACCCTTAATGGCTGCACGACCTGCTTGCTCCATTTGTTGCAGCAACTCTTCTGCTGATCTCCTGCCTCCTCAAAGCTTGAATAGTTGGTCATTGCCCCATCAATATCATCTTGCAACCAGCCGTCTCTGCAGAATCTGTTCCTATTGCTGGGAATATACCATTGTTCCCAATCTTGTCTTTTCTTCACCCCCAAGGGAAAACCATGTCTCATCCACCCGGGCAACGTTGCCGTGTCTCTGTCAGCAGCGTTTTCTAGAAGCTGCTGCCATACATCTTTTTGTTTCCCTGTGTCTGACACCTCGGCGTCAAACTCCACCGCAAAAGCCTTTCTCGCTTCTAATATCCATTCTCTGGGTCCTCCCGCGAAGTCCTGACACTGTATTTGCCTTTCCGTCATGTGATCTTCTACCACACGTCCAAAGACCACCACGCTTGGCATCACCTGATTGGCCTGCTAAGCTGTGGATCTCCCTAGCCCTCCGGATGTTCGTCGCTCCTCAACACTGGTACGGTACTTGCCCGAATTCGTCCGAACTTCGTGCCCGTGTCAGAGTTCGACATGGAGGCGCGAAGTGTCCGTGGTCGATCTCAGTGGCACATAGGCCTGTTGCGGCTTTGTAGATTTTTGTTTGCCAAAACGTTCCACCCCCCAGCATATCCGTCCAATGTTGCCCAGATGGAAATCTTCCCGCCTGATATGAACCTCTGCTTCTGAGAGGCCTCCCATTCCAGCAAGGAACTCTGCAAATACAAATTGTCTGCATTGACCTTGCATTGAAACATCATTGTCCTTCTTTATGAATTCAGCTGTAACCTTCACGTCTTCCGGTTCAAGAACTATTTGCTCCTCCCCCGAATCCGAGCAATCACGCACGCCATCTGCTTCCCGTCACTTTCCCTTTCCACCTCCACCCATGTCTCCAGCCTTGCCCTTGGCACACTGCACATTTGGACGCTGTCCAAGACATATAGCTGACAAACATGGGCTCGACGGTCGCTGCAAGGCTCCTGACAAGCACCCAGCTGGCCTTTGGCAACCTCGTAACAGATCTGATTCCCATCTCGGCAAGTCACAAAGAACTGGCCATCGTAACGTCTTGGGCACTGCATCTTCACTTTGCCTTCCGCCTTGCTGCTTCCTGCTCCTCTCCAACTGTAAGAGTCATACTGGCTCGTTGACTGAATTCGGCTCTTCCTCCAATCATCTTCTCTCTTTTCCTTCTCTCTCCTCCGACGTTTGGCACTCTTCGATTCACCTTCTCCATGAGGCCGAGGAACTCCTTGTGACACTCTTGAAGCATCCTTCTCTGCATCAGTCATGTCCATTCCTTCTGCCTTCTGCTTGCTCATGGATCTTCCGCCCTGCCGTGCAATGAAGGCTTGGGCTGGAATCTGCGCGACTTCTTGATTCCAATATGCCTGATCTCTTGCAGCATGGGTGAACACCCCAATCCATGGCTGTCGAACGTCGAAGCTGCGGTCCATTGGCAGTCGAGCCTCGATTGCTGCGCTTGTCAATGAACGTCGAATCCTCTCCAAATGATCACTGCGGCGACGATCTTCTGCTTGAAAAACTAGATGCAAACATTCTGGATGCTGTCGATTCAATGTTGCAATGTTCCTGAAATATTCATCCAACGCTGCCCAAGTTATCACAGGTTTCTTGTCTCCTCCAGGAACGACAGGATTATGACGAAGCATCAACAAAATGGTTCCTGATTCCTGTAGACATCCCAACGTGAAGTCCATGCAGAGAAGTTGGGGGGACCAGCCACCTCTGTCTGCTTCCAAGTCCCGTCGTCTTGCAAGAGGAAAACCTTTGGCCTTCAGCTGACGTTGTGTCCTCCACGCATACGGTGTGAGCACTGAGAAACATGCGTATGGAGCAGCTTGCCGGGCGACAACCTTGTTGATCATCACTGTCAGCCCATGACCAATCTGTATTGCGCACAGGCCTCGTCCACCTCTGCCTTTCCAACTAGTTCCAACTCCGTGTCGTCCAGTTGGTCAGCAATCTGTGAAACTTTTACCTTTTGCACTCCCAACTGCATTTGCAATTCCACCCACTGCAATTGGTGTCGGTGCCACTGCAGTTGCTGGTGTACTGGGGGCTGACAAATTTGCTACTGCACCTGGCGCTAACAAATCAATGTCAGAGAGCCCAAAACATTTCCTGGGCGTGGTCGTGGGTTTGTGCCTGGGCGTGCTGTGTGTCTCGACCGGCACCGAGTTGTGCAGAGCTTCAACTGTGTAGTGTTCCGGTGGAGGTCATCGCATTCCGCCGGCGTGGATCGGCCCATGGCGAACAGCCCTTTACCTACGGACACAGAAATAGCCACCCTAACAGACTTGACCGCAATCGTTAGGTGGTGTGCCTTGGATGCTCAGGTCTGGCGGGAGATCAATGCAGGGTAAATACCCGGTTGCTGGCTCATGCCCCTCCGGAAGGGATCGCCACAGCTCTCGATCATATGGAGCTGCGAAGAGTGGGGATTGATGGGGCGCCCCTTGATCCTCCAACTAGGCCGTTGACAATGGTGGAGACGGTGCAAACAGCATTGGCACAATGGCCAGTAAGGCCTCGAACTCATCCATTGCAAAGCTCACATCCCTGGCCCATCTTGAGCCAAAATGGACCAGGAGAACAAGATGGGTACCACCTGACCTCAGCTAACTTTCTTTCTTTCGAAAATGCGTTTGTCCATCAAAAGTAGTCAAGGTACCGCTCATGTTTATAAGGGTCTGTGTCCCAAATCACCTATCGGCTGGCTTTCATAATAAAGTTACAATAAATTGGCAATACTTCAATGACCAATTCCTTCATTTTTCTCAAATGAAATGTTTCTTTTCGTAATATTGCATACGATTAAAGAACATCATCCCCAGGATTGATACACAAATCACCTAGCACACACAGCTCTGCGGTCATCACAAAATGAACACCCTCAAACAGCACAAACAAAAGCAAGAATCAAAATAAGGGTAACGCCCCTTCAATAAGGTCCAAACAATGAGAAAGAAAAGCAGTTGGCTTTGCGAGGAGCCTGGCGTCGCAATTGCAATCGAAGCAAGCAGTCTGGTATTATATACGTAGCTGTGCAAGCAGGCTCGCATAGCATACCACTACACCATACATACTTCATTACAAACAAGACCTTGACTGAGAAGGTGATCATCTGATGGCAACATAAAGCATTTTCTCCACAAATCCAAGTTGCAAGGTTCGGGCGTTTGGGGTTCAATGGTTGAAGAAGCAATGCTCAGCTGAAATGTGTGACAGTTTTTACAGATCCTATGAAGGCTATGCAGCTTAGCCTGCAGAAGCGAAGTCTTTCACTGTCTGTGCTTTCTCGGCAACCACATGCACCTGCAGAGATGCCCCACAATTTCATCCAGAGTCAAAGGGTTGTGTTGAAAGCAAGTTGACTATAGAAGATCCACAATTCATTGAAATAGGATTTTATGCTGATTACTCGCTCAGCATACACAGGTGCCCGAAAGTGCTAGCCCTGCCTTTTGCTTGCTGCCTTCTGCGGAAGCAAAATTCTTGCTGGAATCCTTGCGTGTCGCAAAATGTAAACCACGAGATAGCAGGAGAGCTCCCTCCGTCTCAAGCCTTCAGCTTCAGCGCAGCATTGCGGGCTTGCTCCAAAGCCACTTCGTGCACCTCCTGGCATAACTGGACTTGAGAGAGGAGGGGGTGAACGAAAGGTAGCAGGCAATCACGAGTAACCCTGGTAGAAGTTCTTGACAGCGTGAACCGGCGCAGGGGGGATTTGATCCAGGGGGGGCACCCGAGGCCCCCCCCCGACGAACAGAATCATCTCTTACAGGACCAAACTCAATGCACAAACCCAACTCCAGATTGTAATACCTGTTTGCTAAAGTAAGGAGATACCTTTCGTGATGAGTCGGCAATTGAAAAGACGCTTAGCACCTCTGAAGCGGTCCATGTGTCCTTCCCCATTGTCAGCAAAGTCTTCACTTTGTTGACGTGCGATTGGATGGCCTGTGGGCCATAGACACTAGGAGCAAGGACGCTACTAGGAGCTCCTGGCCTTACTACTAGTAACAAGAAGTTACTAGGAGCTCCTGGCATCGCTACTAGGCCATAGACACAAGTCAGTGAACTTTGGGCCCTTCGACCCTCAAGTTTACACGCCCACCTCTGCATGAATTTGTCCATCCTCGGACGACCAAGCCTCCCAAGAAAGTTGTAAATTATGACCAAATCGATTTGGTAATCTTTTCTGGCAAGCTACTGAGCTGCCTGGAATTGCTCCTTCTCTCTCAAGTAAACGATGTAAACTCCATACTTTGATGGATACGAAGTGTAAGCTTTGTACAATCTGCATCTTCAACATCTCTGTTAGGTCAGTAGGTGTTAGGTGATGAAGTCTCCGGGTGCAAGAGCGCCGCACTAGCAGGGACAGAGGGTGGCCGACTCTTCGTGTTCTCCAAGATCATCCACTACCACAATTGTGCCTGAGACTCACTCATCCTTTCTGATCAAAGTGGACTATTTGCTCATCCGAACTTGAGTCATGCATCTCCGCGGTTTGAAGAAATGATGCAAATGCTCACCTGACGTGACACGGTCAGCAAGTCTGCAAAACGTCAGAAAAGAAAAGACCAAATCATAAACTCAGCCTCAAAGCTCCTTCAGGTCACACTTTTCGCAATCAAGTTACCGGTGGTGAGATTCCACATGTCCACATTGTAGTCCCAAGAAGCCGTTACCAACCGGCCCAGCTGCCAATCCACATCCATTGCCACAGTCATGTTGTGCTTGCAGTCCAAAGAATTTTCCCAAGATGTTTCCCATTCTTCGCCGGCTTCAGTATGGAGATTCCAAATCTTTACAAGCCCATCATCCGAAGCAGTTGCAAGCTTCCCATTCTCTGCATCGAGGCTCATGCCTGAGATGTCAAGTCAGAAGGACAATTCACGACTGGCCTTCTGGCCTTCTGGCCCTGGCATACTGGCCAAGCTACAATTCACGTTGTGCCCAGGGGACTCATAGCTTTGCAGGAGTTTCCTCTCCCTCAAGTCCCACAGCATGAAGCGGTATTCATTGGCGGATGAGACTGCCACCATACTCTCAAAATCCACATCTAGAGCATAGCCTTCAGAAGGCATACGAACAAAAGCCATGCTTAAGCATTCTGCCCCACCCGTATCATGTTGCATTTCTATGTCAACAGAATGCCGCGCTTGGCACTCACATTCACTGGTATTCACCCTAGGCCAAGCAGCAATTGCTGTTGTGCCCAGTGAGCCTGTGAGCCAACTTCGCCGAGCGCAAATCCTCAGTCAAAACCTATCCAGTGGACGGAATTCTGTATTCCGGACGGTGTATGAGATAAATTGAATTGACCTGTAGCCGATTGGTTCCCGCACAAGACACTATGGGGCAGGGTTCGGAGGTGTTCTCTCAGCAGTCCGCAAGTCGTGGTTCCATTTACCAGTTCACATTTGCGGCGCTCTGTACTCTTACACAAACCTATATCCAAACTCTAAGCCAAACTCTGATAAAATAACCTGGCGAAGTCTCGTAGAGGTGCACGTAGCTGTCCCAGGAACAAGACACCACAAGGTTCTTCTCCCAGTCAACAGCAAGAGCCTTCCATCAATATTCAGACAGTTTCATCAATCTTGATGGACAAGAGCTGCCCTGGCCTTGCAGTGGTCTTGATGCCCGATCAGTGACCTGTAACTCTGCTTGACACCAAGTCTTAGACAAGCACAGAAAAACAGACCAACTCACTTGCAAATCTTTGCATCTGGCTGGCGAAACAAACTCTTTGGTCTGAAAGTCCAGAATCTTGATCCACCCGAAGTTTGTTCCCAGTGCCACCCGTCCTGTCCCGACGTCAGCAGCCTCATGTGTGCTTTCACTAGAGGCTGCTTAGCCCCGTAAACATATTACCACGAGGAGCAGAAAATTGGATCAGCAAATCAAAAGGACAAAACTTAAGAGACCTCAGCAAAGCGGCCACGCATAAGAATCCCTGATTGTCGTGTTTGTCCCTCTTGAATTCAATTGTTTCCTTCCACGTGGAAAACAGAGATTCCCATGAACAAAAGGCTTGTGCAAAACAGCACAAAGAAAGCTCCAGACAAGGCCGATTGCAGCAACAACAGAGATTCAATACATCCAAAACCCAAGCCTCTTTTATTCGATAGAGGTTAACCTTGTTGTCGATTCCACAGGTCACAGCCTCCATGTGCTGCCTCAATGCCGCCACGGTTGAGCCAAAGAAAACATAACGAAAGGTATGTTGAAGTCATAAATGATAACAGAATCATCAAAATCTTGGAGCACTATATAACCCCTATTCGTTGCAGTCGAGTAGCCAGTCCACAACAAAGTCCGCACAAGGCGCATTGTGGAGTTTCTTGCACCTGCCGAACTAAAATGGACGAAAACAATGCGGACACTGGCGGACCCTGGCGGAGCCTGGACAGTTCTTTCTCCCTGCTCGCGCGACCAACTCACGCTGTGCACCTCACCACTGGAGGAACACGATTGCCTTCGATCACCGGCCACAGAAATAGAAACCCGTCGCAACCTGTCGCTGCCACCCAATCCGCCTGAAATAACTGTCAAAAATCACAGCAAAATAGGCCCCTCAAAACCAAACAGCTGAGCAGCATGAATCTGCTAGTCTCAGGCAATGGCAACGGGTTCACCAACAAATGTTGTTTTTTGCCACACAATGCTGATCTGGAACACGTGAGCCTTTTTAATGTGCCATTGCAGCATTGAAGCACGGCAATATGTCGGGATATGGCAAGCCACATGTGCCCACACATGTGCCCACACATGTGCCCACACGTGTGCGCGCAAGACAACGCCACAACAAACAAGAACCAGTGAACCTGCTCCGGAACCCGCTTTGGAGCCATGTCACCGCTAAAGCCGCTAAAGCATGACCTGACTTCAGCATCTCAGCGTCACAATACGTTAACATATCATGCTATGACCCATGTCAGCATGACAACATGTCAGCACGACGGCGTGAGTCAGCACGACGGCGTGAGTCAGCGTGAAAACATGCCAGCATGCTGACACGTCAGCACTACGGAATTGACTATCTCACATACTAGCATGTCAGAAATATATGTAAAGTCCTCTTGACCTTGTGCCGGAACCTGCTCCGGAACATGTTCCCGAACCACTTGCTCCCGAACCTGCTCCGGAACCTGCCCACCAACCTCCTCCAGAACCCGCTCCAGAACCTGTTCCAGAACCTGCTCTGATGTGCTTCGAAGTCTTTACTATGGCTGAAGGCCCCCAAGCTTCGCAATGGAGACAAACGAATGCAAAACAGGCATTCTACAACCTAGAACCTTCCGGCAAGGGATAGGAGCAACATGTTTGCGTCAATACAAAGCAAAGCCGATATAAATGAAAAATGTTTTCCAAATTGCCATGGTTCGTAATGACCAAAAGACTCATAGTCCACTTTGGGCACGCTCCATTTCGTATGATGGCCTCGGCAACTGTGGCATCTTGATGGAGCACTTTCGGGGGGGTTGCTATGTCTTCTGTGAAGTGGTCATGCAAAGCAAGCGCAACAACAATTCCAGGCTAAGTTCATGTCTGCTCGCTTCCAAATGTAGGGGAGCAGTCAAGTCGTACTGATCAATCATCCAGTCATCCTTAAAATGACGATCATCCGGGCTTTCACCAAAATATTGTTGTCTTCCCTCTATCCTTGCTTCCCCTGCACTCAAGTGTTTCAACCTTGTCATTGCTATTGTCTTTCCTTGCGAAGAACAGCTTCCAGCTGAGAAGCATGCAGAAGTTTTTCTGACAGAAACCGACGAGCGTGTTGACAGTCCAGCACAAGCCTCAAATGAAAGGACAACCAGAAATGTTTCAGAATCTCACCAAGACAATGGCACGTTCTGGTATTTTACCATATCTTGGGTCTTGATCTTATCAACAGCCTGATAAGGGAGAGGTCGAAAGAAACCTCTGTAAAAAAACATTGTTGTTGTTATGGGGTGATATAGGATGAAATCGACATTACACTTCCTTCTACTGCTGTGAGCCACGCGAAAATACAAGGCAAAGAGGCGCAAAATTTCGCATGGAGGCTCGATATGAAAGAGCCTATATACACAAGGCCTTGATCAACTCCCATCGACTGTTACTGGTCATAGGATAGAATTGGATCTGATGTTCTTGCACAATGGTCCAATTCTGGGACCGACAGTTGAGGGTTTCAAAAGAGGACCCCAAGCAACTCAGGAGCTGTTGGCTGCATTCTGTTTCCCTCACCTGTCTTCTACCTGGACTTACAAACTTGGTGAGCACACCTCAGTATGGGGTGCCCTTGTCCATTGCAATCATCTCCCTTTTAAGAGCAAGGAAATCTTATATCACTATGCAGTTGTAAAGGTGAAGCCTGCAAATGTCCAGCCAAGTTGTGGAACGCTATCTGTACAAGAGTTTTCAACTTAGAGGTTCTTGCTTCCACAAAGCCTCGTCGTTTCTGTCCTCTAACTGGATGGACACACCTGGTCAGTTCACCTCAGTGTGGGGTGCCCTCCTTTGTTGCGTTTCTTGAGGGGAGTGTACAAAGAGCATCTGATATCAAGAGGCTGGGTATTCGGAACGGTGTCCCTATGAGAGTTTAAAGCTTTTTTTGGAGGTTCTTGCCTGCACTCAGTCTCCTCTCTCTTGTTTTCGACCCGCATGTAAAAAACTGGTGAACTCATTAGTAGCTCACCTTACTGTGGGGCACCCTTGTTTGTTGCATTTTTTAGGGGGATGAAAAAGGGCATCCAGTATGAATAGTTGTCAAAATGAAGCTTGCAAATGTTATTCAGTCTCTCCCCTGTCCTGTTTCTACTCGGTCTCACATCCCTGGTTGGTAGTTGGGACGCTGGTCACTATCGGCTGGTTTTCGTAAAACGCACGTCAAATGCCATGTGAGCAGCAGCGGATGTTTTTGGTGGTGAACTGAATCATCTTTGGTGTATTTGAATGACCGTAGATGTGTTCGAAATCATCCGAAACGGTGGTCCAAACAAAAGCAAAGCAAACACGACGTCAGAAGTCTCCAGAAGTCACGACGCTTTCATGAGATCCTGGACAAGTGCGGCATGGTGCATTTGCAGTGTGGTTCCCATGTATTTTTAGCTGGAACTCTCTACTGCTCGATAAGTGCATCATCTGCTTCAATTTTGCCAGCTGCCAGCAGCCTCAGACATAAATTGACGCCCAATTTATCTGATGCGCGGAGCGGACATGGTCACGCACGTCGAGGTCGAGGTGTTGAGTGTCTTTACATCTGCTTCTGCGGGGCGCCCCTCTTTGTTGCAGCTCAGGTATGTGCGGGGGAGTAAACAGGACACCCCTGTAGCTGCAAGTGTCGGGAACTTCCGCGCTGAGTTCACTCTCCCCTCTCCACACCTGTTCAGCTCTCTACCACCCAGTCAGCTCCTCAGTGTGAAGTGACCTTGTTTGTTGCGTTTCATGTCACGCCGCTCCCCTCCTGTCCTCTACCCGAACTCCCACCCCTGGTCAATAGACAATCTAAACAGTCTCCTGAGCACTTTGTAACGCTAATGATGCCCTACACAGGATCATTTGCATCACTCGCGTCACCAAGACCTCCTAAAACATGCATGTCACTACCTTTCTGAACCTCGTGTTTTTTCGCACTCCTTCGCCAGGCTCGGGGTTCACCCTACCCGCCGCGACTCTAAGACTCCCCCGACACCCCCTATGACTCACATCGCTCGCCGATGATCAAGAACAAACCACGCCGAGCTGCCGATCAATGTCGCCATACCGTGCTTCAAATAAACGCATCTCCTCGAGTCCACTTCCAAACACGCCAAGAAGAAGTATGACTACACAGTTTCCGGAATATCAAGTCTGAGTTTGGATGTGTGTGACCTATCACTTGAGGCCGGGGGCTGGCGACGAAAGCTATGTTATGGAAGGTCTCTTGTTGCCAAATGAACCCGCCGGGTGGGGGTGAGGGTCAAACCCCCCGCAGTGGAGCGTATAAGACAACAATACGCCCTGGAAGTACTCACAGTCCAACAGTCCGCACAAGAGCGAGTGAGCCAAATGTTATGGCAAGACTTGAGCATTGCGTAAGAGCATATCACTAACAGGAACCAAGTTGAAG